TGAGTCACTGCAACTGGCCCCATGTAACTACTAAATGCAATGTACTGTGCTAAACATCATATGATATGTAGTATAAAATGAGTAAGGTAGTTCTCATTCTCAAATAATTTACATTCTAGAAAGATTTAATGAATACAAACATATCCCTTACCATCATACTAGGCTCTACTCAGGTGAACACTCCAAAATTCCAATATCTCTAATAATTGTCCTCTCTCCCATCTAAAGGTCTCCCCATTAGTCCTCTTCTAAAGCTATTGCTCACAACTTTCTCTCTCTAGGCCTCATCTCTCTACACAGTAAATATACTGAGAAGCTTTGCAGAACATTAAATTCTACAAAACCAAGGAGAACATAAAAGAGAGAAACTTTAATCCTTAATGCATTGTTTTAAACTTCCTTTAGATGAAGAAAGAATCCAAAGCTAAGGCAGCACCTGTGACTCAAAGGAGTAGGGCGCCGGCCCCATATGCCAAAGGTAGTGGGTTCAACCCAGCTCTGGCCAAAAACTGCAAAAAAAAAAAAAAAAAAAATAATAATAATAATAATAATACAAAGCTATGTTTTATGGTCTACTTATCTATTACTCTTTACTACATTGTACCCTGGCTAAGAAGCCAAAAGTCCTCCAAGAAAACAAATTTTACAAGTAGGACAAACACAGCTTACATGCAAAACACAGGAGACCACCAGTGAAATATCAGATAGTTAGTAATGGATAATGAACTATTATTTAAAGTAGGAAAAACAAATAATAAAGACAAGTATATAGGCCCTTAATTTTGTAGACTGGTATTACACTGGCCTTACTTTTTCCTAACTAAGAAAAATCACTGCCGCCTTATAGCAGTTTAATATAAGCAAGTTTGTATTTCCTACTCTCAAGCTAAGCTATAGCAAAATTTCACTATTTCTTTTGGAGACAGTTTTATTATGATGCCCTGGGTAGAGTGCCCAGGGCATCATACCTCACAGCAACCCCAAACTCTTGGGCTCAAGTGATCCTCTTGCCTCAGCCTCCCAGGTAGCTGGGACTACAGGCACCTGCCATGGACGCCCGGCTAGTTTTTCTATTGTTATTAAAAATAGGGTGGTGCTCTTGCTTAGGTGGTCCTGAACTCCTGAGCTCCAGTAATCCACCTGCCTCAGCCTCTCAGAGTAGTAGGATTATAGGTGTGAGCCACTGCTCCCACTGTCATAAAATTAATGCTTTAAATCCTCATTTGAAAATTTGGGAGTGGCGAACTGCCTTGCAGGGTAAGTTCTTAGAACTCTACTCTCTGGCTCACAAAAAGTGTCAATCAGCTTTTCTGTCTTAACGAACCCAAAAGATCTTTTACTTATTTATTTATTTATTTATTTATTTTTGGAGACAGAGTCTCAAGCTGTTACCCTGGGTAGCATGCTGTGGCATCATAGCTGACAGCAACCTCCAACTCTTGCGCTCAAGCAATCCTCTTGCCTCACTTTTTCCATTTTTAGTAGTGACAGGGGTCTCGCTCTTGTTCAGGTTGGTCTTGAACTACTGAACTCAAGCAATTCACCTGCTTCAGCCTACCAGAGTGCCAGGATTATAGGCATGAGCCATTGCACCCAGCCCCAAAAGATCTTTTAACCACAAATTATAGTCTTTCACGTTATTCACATACTTGAATAGCTAAACTAAATATGTAACATATTGTTTAAGATTTTTTTTTTTTTTTTTGAGACAGAGTCTTACTATGCCACCCTTAGTAGAGTGCCATGGCATCACAGCTCCCAGCAACCTCCAACTCCTGGGCTTAAGCAATTCTCTTGCCTCAGCCTCCTAAGTAGCTGGGACTACAAGCGTCCACCACAACGTCCCACTATTTTTTGTTGCAGTTGTCACTGTTGTTTAGCTGGCACGGGCCAGGTTTGAACCCACCACCCTTAGTGTATGTGGCTGTCGCCATAACCACTGTGCTATGAGCACTGAGCCCAGATTGTGATAAGATTTTAAAAGAAGAAAATATTAGCATTTAAGGACTTAAGTGATTCAAGAGTCTAAAACCCATTCTGAGATGATTTTATACACAGGATTCTCACATAGTTAAGATAGTAATCTGTGGCTCTGTGCCTGTAGCTCAAGTGGCTAAGGCACTAGCCACATACACCAGAGCTGGCAGGTTGGAATCCAGCCCGAGCCTGCCAAACAACATTGACAACTACAACCAAAAAATAGCTTGGCGCTGTGCCAGGCACCTGTAGTCCCAGCTACTAAGGAGGCTGAGGCAAGAGAATCGCTTAAGCCCAGGAGTTGGAGGTTGCTGTGAGCTGTCACACTGTGGCACTATACCCAGGGTGACAACTTGAGGCTCTGTCTCAAAAAAAAAGATAGTAATCTGTGACAACCACACAAAGCTGTGTCATGATTCCAAAACTCTGTAATGATGAAATGACAAATGCATTTCCCCTCAGTATCTAAAAACATTTAAGAAAATATTCAGGTTTGTTACAGTTTCCTAGAAAATACAGCCAGCCAATTAGTTCCTAATTTTGTCTTTTTTAACCAAATAATAAGAAATTTAGGGACTGGGTGTGGTGACTCATGCCTGTAATCCTAACACTCTGGGAGGCTGAGGCAGGTAGATTGCCTGAGCTCACGGGTTAGAGACCAGCCTGAGAGAGCGAGACCCCATCTCTAAAAAACAGCTCGGCTTTATGGCGGGTGCCTGTTGTCCCAACTGCTTGGGAGGCTAAGGCAAGAGGATTGCTTAACCCAAGAGTTTTAAGGTTGCTGTGAGCTAAGATGCCCACCGCACACTACCTAGGGTAACCGAGACTCTGTTTAAAAAAAAAAAAAAAAAATTTAAAGAGCTAATGAAAAACAGTGCTTCATTTTATTGGTCTAGAATAAGAAAATCTGCTGGCTAGGCACAGTGGCTCACACCTATAATCCTAGCACTCTGGGAGGCTGAGGCAGGTGGATCACTCCAGGAGGGAGGGAGTTCAAGACCAGCCTAAGCAAGAGTGAGACCCCCATCTCTACTAAAAGCAGAAAAACTAGTCAGGCATTGTAGTAGGCGCCTCTAGTCCCAACCACTCAGGAGGCTGAGAGTCTGAGGTTGCTGTGAGCTAAAATGATGCCATGGCACTCTACCTAGGGTGACAGAAGGAAACTCTGTCTCAACAAAAAGAAAAGAAAATCTGCTAAGTTATAGTTGAGAGTCTTTACCAATGTTTTAGAGAAAGAAAATTACTTTTGAATATACTTTTGTTGGCATAATCTACCCCTAAGATAACTAACTGAGGTAACTTAGCTCTTCTAATTTAAGATGCCTTTGTTTATAATTAAAAGGAATGGGAAAAAAAGAAATCCTGGAAGTCTACCATAATTTTAATGGATCAACAGCCCTTTCTTGGCCCTATTCTGGCCAAGACACCAAGAAGAAAGTATCAGCCAGTATGCTAGTAAGTTAAATTTATCAACAAAAGAAGCATAAGTACTCTCAAAACCTACATTAAAAAAAAAAATCTTATTGGATCAACCCTGAGGTGAAAAAGACAATCACAAAGACTAGATTAGTGTCTTACGTGTTGTTCACTTTCTGTTGGTTCTAATGCCTGAGTTTCTCCATCTATAAGATTT